TTGAAATGGTTTCGGAGTGGCCATCGAATAAAATATCCCCCGGAGAAGAAGATCGTGAAACGTAATCCTGGATCTAAATGCACGTCCCTAAACATATTTAAAAAACAGTGCTGCAGCCATCCCGTCCGTCACTGTACACTGCGCGATTCGCAACTATTCAGATAGGAGACTCGTGCGAATGACAAATTCGTCGCGTTCGTTGCCCACCATTCGTGTCGATCACGCTAGCGAAGCGACTCTTTGATAAAATCAAAGGACAAACCAATAAATTTGCGCTTCGCTTCGTGTATAGAGAGCTATACTGTACAATCCAATAAATCACTGATCGCAAATATTGTAATGCGGAGTTTATACCGGCGAACGCGATGGATTTCTGCGAATTTCGCGATTTGCAAATCACGGGTCATCAGTCGCGTATAATTAGCTTTACGTGGCGCGCGTGCATTGTCATCGTTTCGGGAAATTCGCCGAGCGACATCGGTGCCGATCACGTTCGCGCGTTGTGCACCGAAGCGCCAGCGCGGCCTCGATATCTCCGAGTATTAATATCGGACGAAAATCCCTCGGCGGCGGTACGTCGTCGGGCTTAGGGTCAAACGAGCTCGCCGGCGCGCGGCAGCGTAGGATCGGCGAGCAAGGGGGTCGACGAAAGCGCGAGACAAATTGAGCCCGGGCTTTGTAAGACGCGGCCTAGGCCGCGGAACGCGGAGCCCGCCCGTCGTGTCGCGCGCAGGCACGAAGAGGGCGCCCGGGGCGAAGGGGTCGAGGGCCCCCCCGCGCTTCCGGTGCCGCGGTACGAGCGTGGGCACCGGAGGGAAAAGGGATTCCTGAGCGAGCGCAGGAATTTCGCGGCGCGACGTCGTCGCGTCCACGGAGATTCCCTCCTCTCCCGGCTGGAATGGAGAACGGACAGGAGGGGGATTACACAATGAAATATACTTCTCTTTCGCGAGCACGTCGACGCACCCTCGCTAAATATAAGCCCGTCGCCTCGCGCCGGCAAAGTCCCACAAATCGCACGAAACGCAACGCGGCAAGAGAGGAGATCGCCCCGCGTCGGGTCCATTGGGTCAACTCCTACCTTTTGCCGCCCCTACGCTTCTTCCAGTAGCCACCCACTTGGCTGCATGGAGGAGAAAAAATAGTGTGTATCACGATAGACGATCGGGATCATTCGATAATGCCACTTAAGAGCATCTTAAGCGCCGGACGGATAAGCACGCTTGCCGCCTCTCGAGGAAAATAAGCCCGCCCGAGTTCAATTGGATCCCATTCTCGTTGCCGATCGCGCGGATCTATCTCCACCTCTGGGGCTGCGAGGCCCGATAATTTACGCGATACTTTGAACCTAAGGATCCCCGATCGTTTAAAACTCTTTCGCCTTTCGACCCAACTCGGAGTACAACGACAGCAGCACTTTGTGCCGAGACTTACGGGATTCTCGAACAGTTGAGAATCGTCCTTGTAAAACTTACTCTGTAAAAGACAGTCGGTGGATTATCACTGAAAACAGTGAATACTCGCTGACGCACACTCATTTACAAGTACGTCACTGCGATTTTCGATAGTACACTTATAACTGTGAATCAGTGACTATTAATCAGTGAAGATTAACTTTTAGAGAGTAAGGGATAAACAATGTCCAGCCAAGTTGATTAACTAATAAGAATTCTTCAATTTCGCCAGCGATAATTAACGTCAGTGTTTCCTCGACCATACCTGGCATTTTTAATAATGCAGAAAGTTTATTGCGAAAACTATTATCTCAGCCAGGGTTTGAACCTGGACCTCCCTGTCGAATTGGTGAGACGCCCGTCTAGAGTGCAGGGAGGTCCAGGTTCAAACCCTGGCTGAGGTAATATCCTTCGCAATAAATTTTCTGTATTATTACAAAATGCCAGGTGCGGTCAAGTTGATTAAGTTGATGAACCAAATTCATCAAGTCTTCGAATCAAATAGATCTGTTACACTAATCGCGTTTCATCGTAACCGAGTATTTACCGCGGCTTTCTTACCTCTCGACAACAAATGTTTGCAGAAATAATGAAATTCGCGAGTAGATGTGAAGCGCACGTCTGCATGGAAATAGACAGTGGCGGTGGATAAAGCCCGATCGATCGGATGTAACGCGTCGAGCAACGAGTGTTCGATGAAAGAGAAACACAATTACATTCCAATTAACGTCTGAAATCGGAATGGCTCCGAGACAACCATCCGACGGTGTATATCACCGGCCGTCGCTCGATGTAAAACTTAACGAACCCGAGCGAAATGGAAACTTTCATTCGCAGATTTATCATTCGGATATACTCGCTAACTTTGTACGAATTCCGCCAAGGTACACGATGTCGTGTCACGCTTGCAAAATTTTTCTCTAAATAAAATTTATAGAGGAGAGTCCTCTATTACGAAGTAGGATCTTAATATGGGATAGCGGGGTTTCCGCTAAAATGCTAAATTAATAGGCATCGTCTGTTGGTTCCATCATGAATTTGTTGCCCCTGGAGCGAAATCTGTTTAGTGAAAAATTCATGGATTGTGTAATCGTTGCGAAAAAGAGATTTGTGATTGAATTTGGGTGTTGAAAACCTGCTATCTCATAATAGAGGACTTTCCTCTAATAACAAATAATATGTTTCGACAGACGTGAAATGATATTCCGAGTACAGCTTAAAGATAACTAATTGCAGCTGTTTACCGTATTCAGAGTTTATTTGTCGTATACACACGGGAAAAACGTACTGTTGAATTAAACAGCAATGAAATTGCGTGAATTAAACGTTGACGTCACAAACATAAATAATCCACTCAATTGTATTTGCTATGGATTGTAATTTTAAGAGTTGAACTAAATGTCCAGATTATTAAAACAACTATCTCATGTTTTTCATTCGTTAATCCTCATGCTGTTTCAACGATTTTATTTCAATAACACCGATCTCGTTGATACAACACTACTGTTTCTCCCGTGTATGCACACGAAATACTACGTTGCATGTACATAAATTCGTTGTACAATATTTTATAAAATTGCTAGATGCAGCTTTTTAAAGGGCTACGGGGATACACCCAGTCCACTTTCGTTAAAAAGAACAGAGCGATTTTTATGCGTGCGAGTTGCATCGACATATTTTCGTTACGATAATCTACATAAACGGCAGCGCGTTCTTTTGAGAGTGAGAAACTCGAGCGTAACCCTTTTTACGCACGCTGGAAAAAAACGATGATACGAGCTTAATGGTGTCGCGGGTCAAAAACCATTAGAACCGGTGGATCGTGTGCGACGCACGTGTCAGACATGTGTGTGACTATGTGGTTATGTAGACTGCAACGTTTAAATGTATCTTGTTTCAGCGGTGCAACCGCTTTTTACGAGACTCTTACTCTCTATCAGATAGAAACGTTAAGTGAACTGTGAAGCAAAGTCTAATTTATCTTATGATAAGATTTCATATATATCAAGCTTTGGTAATTGTTTTATAAATTGTCCAACGAATTATCTCAGCGGTATCGGGAGGACCGTCAATTTTATTCAACTGCAATGGAAAGCAACATCGTCGCAAGTGTCTCAAAATGTAATTACTAAGACGCCTACTTGAGAAACCGCACGCGGTTAAAATCTCCGAAGCTAACTCGCAATTTAACGTTCAAAATTAGAAGATTATCGCGGCTACCGTTGTCAAAGAGCGTCTGAAATTGTTCCGTGTGTTAAAATTATATAATTTAACACGGACTCTTTCCGGCGCGGAATTTAAATTCGAAGCACGATGCGCTCCACTGAGACTAATCTCGGTGCTCGCTGATCTTATTAATTTGTACTATCACACGTGACACGTACCATGCTCTCAGCGGAAGGGTGATCCTGATGTCCGGAAGGCCTATTTCCTTGCAGCAGCGCCTCGAGACTCTCGATATACTCGATGGCGTTCCGCAATATCTCCACTTTCGGTAAACGTTGGTTGGGGTTGTTGCTCGTTCGCCTCTTGAGCACCTCAAAGGCCTCGTTGACCTGTAATAGAAATTGCATAATTAACCACATGCGTCGCCGACCGCGTGAATAATACACACGTCAATACAATGCGCGTTGCAGAAGGGAAACATCTTGCGGAACGGAGCGTTATCGCGTTCGTTCGCCGGCAGAATTTCCTCAAAATTGCCAGACGCACGAAATATAATAATAATAATAATAATAATAATAACTTTATTTACGGGTAAAGAACCCTTTAGCATACATGAAAAGTAAAATTGAGAAAATAATTTGACAATTTAGACAATTTATAAATATGTTTTAACAATTTCATCACGAGGTCCATATAGTGTTGGCGAAGTATCATTTTCAGACAGAAAGCACAATCGAAATCATGATTAAGGATAGTTTAAACGCAAAAGAGCAATAGTAAGATCACGTCTGAAAGAATGTACAGATCCGTTAAAAAAATTTACAAGATTCGAGTATTTATTTGCAGAAATCTTCAGTCTATTTAGGCATGAGTTTAATCCATATAGTGTGCGGTGATATTCGCTTTGGAAAACATTGTGTTTCCTTAGAGCCCTAGTTGGTACGCATAAATTTATTTTATTTAATAAGTCCGGACAGTTGTTGATGCTATTGAGAATCTTAAAGAAGAAGGTTAGGTCATGAATTTTCCTTCTGTCCTCTAAAGATAGCAGATGTAAGTTACTTAAAATGGGGCAATAGTCATGACAGGTGATATCCATGGGGTTGCCCATACGGTAAGCAATCATACGTAAAAACTTATGCTGGACTCGCTCAATTAGATTACGGTGACACTTATAGTATGGAGACCAGACAACAGAGCAGTACTCCAACTTAGAGCGTACTAGGGCGCGGTATAATAGTTTAAGAGTGGCAACATTTTTTAAGTACTTTCCCCAACGGAGTATGAAGCCAAGCGCTCTATTAGCAGACGAAACCATCATTCGAATATGACCGTTGAATGTGAGATCGGCACTGAACAAGATACCGAGATCTCGAGCCTCACGCAGAGCTAAAAGAGGTGAGTCGTTGAGAAAATAGTCATATATGACAGGATTCGGTCGGAGTGTAAAATGGATAACAAAACATTTTGCCACATTTAGATAAAGACGGTTCCTCACACACCAGAGCTCGAGTCTAGATAGGTCATGCTTAAAAGCGCATCTGCAGGTCCATCAATTCGTCGAAATAGTTTAAGGTCATCGGCATATAATAAAAAGTTAGAAAAATTAATATAAGTAGTTATGTCATTAATAAATAAAATAAATAAAAGAGGACCAAGGTGTGAGCCCTGTGGTACTCCAGAGGACACAGATATGTATTTGGAAAAGCAGTTTTTATATTTAACAACCTGAGCTCATTGAGGAAGCTAGAGATCCAGCGCAGTAAGGAACCTCCAAATCCAAGGACTTGGAGTTTACATATTAAAATATTGTGGTCAACTTTGTCAAATGCTTTGCTAAAATCTGTGTAAATAGAGTCGACCTGGGCTCCATTCTCGATTTCAGATGTTAAGTAATCATAGTAGCTCACGAGTCCGGCAAAGCTGTTTTATATTATCAGGTACGCATGACAAGTTCGTTGCGGGTGTCGCGTTTTTTACTCCGCTCAACTCTTCCTCATATTGCGCATGCAGGACACGCGGGCGTCGGATTTCAAACGACTCTCAGCGAGATTTAACACTTGGGCCCATCCTCGAAACACCGTTTCGTCATTCGAATCATCCAGAGCGGCGCTTAGTCGACGATCACTTCGCGTACGCAGATGTTTTCCTTCCGTCAGCGCGTTTCTCTTTGAGGTTGTTCACTTCGAAAACACACGATTCATGCACGATGTGCTTCAAGTAATTATAAGCAGAGTGGCCAAAACAGCAACGTGTATGCTCAGCAAACGAAAAATGCGATTTAGGTCATTCACGAAAATCTGAATGATTGCAGATTATATCACGAATGTATTGCACAATAAAGACCTGCGCATTATCAGAGCGAACAGAAGAAACGCTGCTACAGCTAGCGCCGAGCTGTTTTTCGAATCAAACTTATACAAAATCCCGCACGCCGCCATTGTACTTGCGTTATCAACCCTTTAAGTCTAATCTAAAACAACGTGCTCTTTGCGGCTAGAAACATTGTATTTTACAGTCAATAGATACGTTTAAAAAATGTACGCGAGTTCATCAAATCGTACATTGTACTTTGTATAATACAATGTACAATCGTACAGTGTCGACAAATTTTTTAAGCGCTTCGATTCGTTTATATAAAATAGAATGTTTCCGGGTGCGGAGAGCACATTGTAAATTAGGTTTTATAAAAGCGCGAAACGAAGGATATGCACGTTTCCAGGATGCGAGACATCTACGAAATGCGCGAGGCATGGCTTAAATTAAAAACTCCAAAACGCGTTGAACTGTGGCAGCGAATCAAAAGATTTCAGTTTCAACGCAGGAAGCTCGCGGCAAGCTTCTCATTGCCGTACGCTCGCGTTGCCGCAGCTCAACTACATCTATGGAGTTTCAGGGGGTTGCTTTAGCTTTAGGGGGTTGATGGCAACTGACCTTTCTCAAGCGCCGTCTCTCGCGCAGGGTGGCGGCTTTCCTCCGGTCGACGGTGACCGTCTTCTTCTTGCAGGCCTTGCAGGCCCACAGGAGACACCTGCGCGGCCCATGCGGCGAGCCGGCATCCAAAACGTGAGGATGGGGCACATGCTCGATCGACTCGCCCTCGGTCGCCTCGCTCGTCTCGTTGGTCTCGTTGGCCTCGCTGATCTCGTTGGTCTCGTCGGCGTCCGCGGAGCCGGACTCGAGGTCGGCCGAAGCGTCCGCCGATATCACTGACGAGGCGTCGTCCGAATCGAGGGTGTACCGAGACTGCGACCTGAAACGCAAATCGGAATTACTGACGGAGGAGAACATGAAGAGCAATTCTTATCCTTTACCGTCTAACTATAATTGCACTTCTCGTTAGAGCTCGTTGAAAATTTTTATTTCCGACTGCGAACGAATGTCAACGGTATACGTTCGATATATTATCTGGTGGCGAGTGTGGCCGCGGAGAAATGTGCGCTGCTTAGTAACCAAGTAAATGGAAAGATCCGAGTTCAAATCCACGGACACCGCTGGTCTTTTTAAGAATTTTCCGAAGGGAAGTGGCAACCACCGAGAGTATCTTGCCACACATACCCCTTTGGAGGTATAGCCCTCCAGATGGGAGGTTTCCTTCAGCAAAGTTTAGCAGACTACCGAAGATGACGTAAAATCAAATGCTCAAAGTACCAGAACGAGAACTGGATAAAACAGGCTTGAAGCCTAATACACGAGGAGGAAGAAGATTATTTGTGTTATACATTCGAGTATGTCGCAGCATTTTGCAGAGATCTTCGATACAACTGCTTATCCCCGTGGGTATATGCACGCGCATATAACACACCGCGACATAAATTTCGATTCGCGGAAGACGGGCTGTTGCGCGCTGAACGTAAAAGCCGCGCCGACTTACCGGGCGCTGAAAGGCCCGGCGTATAGATATTTGGTGAACGAATTTGCAGATTCTTGCCTTAATCATCCTTTAGTTATCGCCGGCAGTTAATGACGGACGCAGGCGCGTAGGTCCGTCAGGAGGCGGTTTCCGCGATTGGACACGTTCCAGGTGGTCCCGCCGAGAATGTATTTCCTCGCCGCGAGAAGACGCCTCTCGTCTCGGCGAGAGGGACGGTTGTGTAAAGGCGGAACGCGACGGACGAAGCGAAAATCGTTTAATACGTGGTAAAGCCGTCGTCGAGTCTATCATTGGTGATAATAACTCCCGTCCTCGATTCGATCGTGCGACAACCATAAACGCGTCGATCTCGTTTAAATTTCATCACATCGCAAAATGGGCGGGGGTCAAAAAACTGACGGCGGAAAATTTTCCAATAGACTTGTCAGACGAAGTGACGCAAAAGCGTCATTTCCTTAAGTAATCGTAAAAATATTAAGACGATATCTTTCTACGCGTTTTTAAAAGGGTATTAACTCAATATTTAAATAACTTCCTAATCGATTTTATAAATTTTTACTAAGAGTAATTATAACAACGGAGAAAGAGAGAACGCTATCTGGAGAAACGTATTTCTGTGTGCGTCCAGGTACATACGCGCGAAATGTATTGTTCAATTAAAATTCGCCACGGCGCGAACGTACCGTTACGCTAATCCTATAATAGTAATTCGTGAAAGCGTACATATTGCAGCTTTGCGCTTTGACAGTAAAACAGTGTTGAATAAATCTGATTTGGACACGCCAAATCCAATAATGCCTCGATACTACAAAGGTAAAAGCCAAGAGACGAGAAATGCATAGAAGACTGATCCTAGCGCACGAGATGTGACGATCCGAAGAAAGGACGGTACTTTTATGGACAAACCAAAAAAATATGGTTATTATTAGAATAATGTGAAAGGAATTTGAAAAAGTACTTCGGATTACGTATATATTTTTGTTACGTTACGTAATTTTGAGATACGATAGCAGAATAATGGGTAACAAATAAAAGGATGGCAAATGGTAAATGGGATTCCAATTGATAGTTCCAGTAACATGTCGAACGTTGCAAGGAAACCGATAAGAGAAACGGGAAAAACAGGCAGGAATCTTGGAGGGATGATCAATCTTGTCATCTGGCGCAATGAAGAACAATTAGTCATATTTTCGTGGGCATCCATCAGAGTAACTGAAGTTTTCAAACGCTAATTCGTCAAGCGCCACGTTCTTGCGAAAATCCGATATACTCGAGGAAGGATAAAAGTATTAAATTTCACTTTTCTCGACGATATATATTGTGGACACCAATCTTAGTCCAGAAACGCGATATATACATATAACTGCGCTTAGCCAGCGCCCCTTCCGTCCAGAAAAAGATTTATTTAAGTTTAAATAAATGAGATACGTTGAAATCACACGTTTTCTGAATCTATTAAATTTTCATTTACTTCTACTAAAACATTCGCTAGATTTGAGGAAATAGATATAAATTCTCTTCGAGATCCCGGTCTTGGGTAAAAATTTTGATTAAGATAAAGAAATAATTTCTTTAAAGACGTCCGATTTACCTTATCATCTCGAACTATAAAAATGTCTCCTGTTCGTGGTGCAATTTTGATTTAAAAACACGTCAAGTAAAATGCGCAATGCCGTAAGAAAGTTAAGAAAACTAAACAGACGACGGATAAGAAATCCCGAGGAGAACCTGGTTGTTATTGGCGAATTAAATTTCTAACGTGTGTACCTTAACAGAACAATACAATTCAGAATGTTCTTCGCAGAATGTATGCTCGAATGTGGGGCGTTGAACGGGTGTATGGACTGTACTTCATTATCTCCGTGTGCTATAATTATTTTAGAAGTTGTGCTTATACTTTTTTTTATGAAACGACTAACACAAAGGCGGAGGAAGGCAAGAAGGAAGAGACAAGCGAGATGTTACGAAGTTGCGATGCCCTGACAGGAACGGAAACCGGAACACACCGAAGAAACAAAGTCTTGTACAGTAAAAGTGGCCGTAATTATAAGATATACATCCCCTTTTTCAAATTTAATTAAGCTTATTTAAATAGAACCAGAATATCAATTTAAAATGCATTTTTCTTGCAACTAACTTAATAAGATATTTCGCGAGAGAAGGCTATAAATTGCCTTTAGTTCGTTCCGATACCACAATCGCTTGATCGATGACGTTATGTAAGGAACGCAATAATATCGATGCCCATGAAATCGTTATGGGATTTGTGTGTTGTAGCAAAGCTTCATTTCAAATTCCCTCTGATTGCTTCACTAATAGGTAGTCGCGGTGGCCTAATTTTAAGTCCGTCGTACGACACTACAAACTTGCAACTTGATCGATAACGTTATGTAAGGAATACAATAATATTGATACGCATGAAATCGTTATGGGATGTGTGTGCTGTAGCGGAACTTCATTTCAAATTCCCTCTGATTGCCTCACTAATAGGTAGTTGCGGTGGCCTAATTTTAAGTCCGTCGTAAGACACTGCAAACTTGCGACCCGCTCACCTGACGCGGTCGTTGCGGTAGTTCAACGAGCCGGCTGACGCCAAGACGTTGTTAGCGCCGATAATCCTCGCGCGATCGTCCGTGTCCCTTCTGCTGACGTATCCCTGCAGATACTCGGACTCGGTCGGCGCGTAGACGCGCCGATATCGATGGGGATGATGCGGATGATGGTGGTGGTGGTGATGGTGGTGCAAGTGGTGCCGGTAACCGTCGTAGGCCGACCTCGTGACCGCTTCGTAGGCGTAAGGCACCGTATCCGTCACGAAGGTCATCATCTCACGCGATTCGTCGTCGGGGGGTGGGCGTGCGACGTCACGTGCCGGTCACTGTACACGATCGCCGGTGGCAGCCGTCGAAGCGCGCCGATCCGTCCGCGTGTCCACTCTCGAACTCATCCCGGAGACCGGCGGAAACGGCGTGAAATCGATGCGCGTCGTCTAATGCGATTTTTCCTCGAGTGACGTCACATGCGTCTCGATCGCCGCGTTCCCCATCAGACGATCACTCGTCCGATCTTCTCGACTGTGCTATACGACTATTGCGAGAAGGTTTGACGCGGATAGAAGTCCGCGCTGGGCGAAGGTATCCAGCGGATATGACCTTTCGGGATGACAGTCCAGGTGGTAATGTGATGAAAAGTTAGCTGATCCGAAGACAGAGATGACTGAAGGTGCCTGTCGTGAAATCGCGACAGCGCCTTCTCTCTGCTTTCGCTCGTCGTGACGGCGGCTAATTTGCTCTTCTCTTCTTCCCGCTGGAAGGAACGATGAATCACTAATCTCGGCGAAGACACAAACGCATTTGATGGTCGGTGTTAATTTAACTTCTCCTCTTTTAACTTCTTCGTTAACTTCACCGTAGTCCAACGCTCTCTTGGCCAATTCCGTCCAAGGTAATTTTCCGCTCTGATTCGCTAAAACCACCGAGATTCCACCCTCGCGCGTCGCTCGTTATTTAAGTTGCTCAATTCACTCGTCTGCTCGCTGCTCCTCGACGGCACGCGGCGATCTTTGCGTATCCGACGACCGGCACAGCTCGGACCAATTCAGTGAATCGAGAAGAACGGAATTACATTTTACACGGGTCTTACGGATCACACAAGAGCTCGAAGCGCTCCGCGCCAATCGATCGCGCGCGTAGCTCGAGATATACGGCGCGAACGCACTTACGCCTCGTGATCTATAAAGATCGCCACTCTCCGACCACCGAAGAGATGTGATATTTCGAGAAAAGATCCGGCGACGTCGCGAGCGAGCCTCGTGGACGATTCTTGCCGGCGCACCGGGGAGGAAAACTTCCGCACGGTCTATCCGACCGGTACTGGTACCAGATGCCAGACGGATCCGAAAAGCTCGTAGTCGGAGATCAGAGTGAAGACTTGGGCAGCCTCCCGGTAGCTATCGGCTCCTCCGCCACATGGCATCTCTTGACGCGCGCGAGCGTGCGTGTCGTTAAACTCGCTCGGGTCGCTCGCGCACGCACACTCGCGCGCGTAGGAGACACGTTGGGATTATTTTACGCGTTACATGCACGTCGACGACGGTCACACCCAGGCTGACTATTTTTAAGGACGCCCGGCCAATCGGGACCGGGGAAAATCGCCTTCGAACCCGCTGTCGCTCCGCCTCTGTGCTGTCATAGATGCACGAGTTTGGCAGGGGCTCATCACGGGGTGTGGTTTAATCATTAATGAGAGTTAGATTCGTCGGACGGGAGCTCCCGGCCGCGGCGAAGTCACCGACGAGAGGGCCGTTGGCTTTACGTGCGAACTCGGGGTTTAAATCAACGCTGGTAGCACGGTGGTCCGAAAGCATAACAACCCAGACGAAGTGCTAATCGACTAAGGACTGCTATCGCGAGCATTAGTCGTGGTTAACTGAGATTTAAACGTCTCTCCGTTTTCCTTCCTTCTGGCTTCCTCTGGAGGAAGACGGTTGATCATCTGACAATCCCATGTTAACATTAACTAACGTTTCTGATGGGGGGGGGCTCTATATTCCTCGTCCATTTATTTAATGATAAGGTTCATTGGTTTCTTAACAAATAGGTAATTAAATAGTGAGAGGAAGGTTCAAACCCTGGCTGAGGTAAAGTGCTCTATTATGAGATAGGATTCTAATGTGAGATAGTAGGTTTTCAACGTCCAAATTCAATCAAAAATCTTTTTTCGCATCGATTACGCGATCTAACAATCAATTTTCCACTAAACAGATTTCATTCCAAGGGCAACGAATTCATGGTGAAAAACCAACAGACGATGCCTATTAATTAAGTGGAAACTACGCTATCTCATATTAGGAGCCTATCTTATAATAGGGGACTGTCCTCTAATATTTTTTGTAATCAATTTAAAATAAGAATTATTTAGACAATAACATCCTGTTACGATTCTTCAGCCTTTATTCCTTCGAAATAGATAACTTTTTGAAATCATTCAAAATACCCTCAACAGACAGCATTTAAGGTTTGATAATCAAATAAACACAAATCTGCAAATGCCAAAAGTTTTCCTTCGTCACAAAAGAACGTATCAAGCTTCGACATTGGGCATCTTTATAAACCTTAAAAATTAAAGTGAAAGAGGCTCGACTTAAAGAGACTCATCGTGAAATTATTGTCAAACATGACATGTAATACTTTGAGAAAGAACATATGTGTATACATCCAATTTACTTTTCGTGCGTTTTTTCCGCGATTCTTTTCGCACCAGGTGTTCCAAATAGCGGTTTTTCGCAAACTCTTTCACAAGTGATATTTATCCAGAGAAACTACAATATATTTTTCAATCATCGTTATAGTTGCAATCGTATTTCAGCGGTTCGGTGGTTATTGTCAGTCACGTTTCGATTGTTATTCACACACTGTTCGTTCATCTCCTTATTCTTTTCAAATTTACTTATATAAACTGCTCCATTCACGGTTTTTCTTTGCAAATAACGCGATTTTCTTTCAGAACGTATCCACCGCATTAAAGGAGAGTCGGGCGAATTCCCGTTCAATTTGTCAAACATCTCGATAAATCGTAAGACGAAACATTTCGATTCGCCTCATAATTATTACATAATTGCCAGACTCAATCCTCAATCCCTTTCTAATTCAACTGTGTCAATTGTACGTATGTATTTCATCCGGCGATAGTTTCCGCGGATATTGCGGCTTGCCAACGGCTCCTGATACGTTCCAGCGCAGGATTCAAAAATACTTAACTGAAATGTACCAGTTTATAGTCGGACACTAATAAAAAGAAAAAGTCTTCATTACAGCGTGCCGTGGTTTTTGACAGATATTCCAATACGCGTCCGATAGTCGATCAGATTTGCGGTTTGACTGGAGAGAGAGCAAGAGCAAAAGCGCGCGCATGAGAGAGAGAGAGAGAGAGAGAGAGAGAGAGAGAGAGAGAGAGAGAGAGAGAGAGAGAGAGAGAGAGAGAGAGAGAGAG